CTACATCCTTTGCAGCCAAAGGTGGCGGACATCCATCCAGTCGGTGAAAACAAGACCTGGGGCTGACTGTAGCTCAGATCACGAACTTCTTATTGCCCAATTTAGAATAAAAATAAAGAGATCAGGGAAAATACACAGACCAGTTAGATATGATCTCACTAACATTCCTAGCGAATATACAGTGGAAGTGAAGAACAGATTTGAAGGACTAGATTTAGTAAACAGAGTCCCAGAAGAACTATGGACAGAAGTCCGCGACATTGTTCAGGAGGCGGCAACAAAGTACGTTCCAAAGAAAAAGAAAACCAAGAAGGCAAAATGGTTGTCTGCTGAGACACTGGAAGTAGCCCAAGAAAGGAGGAAAGCAAAAGGAAACAGTGAAAAGGGGAGATATGCCCAGTTAAGTGCGCAATTCCAGAGGTTAGCCAGAAGAGATAAGGAACTATTTTTAAATAAGCAATGCATGGAAGTGGAGGAAGACAACAGAATAGGAAGGACAAGAGACCTCTTCCAGAAAATTAGAAACATTGGAGGTAAATTACAGGCAAAAATTGGTATGATAAGAAACAAAGATGGCAGGGACCTAACAGAAGCTGAAGAGATCAAGAGAAAATGGAGAGACTATACAGAAGATCTGTATAGGAAGGATAATAATATTGAGGATAGTTTTGACGGTGTGGTGAATGAATTAGAACCAGACATCCTGAGGAGTGAGGTTGAATGGGCCTTAAGAAGCATTGCTAACAACAAGGCAGCAGGAGGTGACGGGATCCCAGCTGAACTGTTTAAAATCTTAAAAGATGATGCTGTCAAGGTGATGCATGCCATTTGCCAGCAAATATGGAAAACACAAGAATGGCCATCAGACTGGAAAAAATCAACTTATATCCCCATACCAAAAAAGGGAAATGCGAAAGACTGCTCAAACTTCCGCACAGTGGCCCTTATTTCTCATGCCAGTAAGGTAATGCTCAAGATCCTGCAAGGAAGACTCCAGCAATACATGGAGCGAGAGTTGCCAGATGTTCAAGCTGGGTTTAGAAAAGGCAGAGGAACGAGAGACCAGATTGCCAATATCCGCTGGATAATGGAGAAAGGCAGGGAGTTTCACAAAAACATCTACTTCTGCTTCATTGACTATTCTAAAGCCTTTGACTGTGTGGATCATAATAAATTGTGGCAAGTTCTTGGTGGGATGGGCATCCCAAGCCACCTTGTCTCTCTCCTGAGGAAGCTGTACAAGGACCAAGTAGCAACAGTCAGAACTGACCACGGAACAACAGACTGGTTCAAGATTGGGAAAGGCGTACGGCAAGGCTGCATCCTCTCACCCAACCTGTTTAACTTGTATGCAGAACACATCATGCGATGTGCGGGGCTGGATGAATGCAAAGCTGGGGTGAAAATTGCTGGAAGAAACATTAACAACCTCAGATATGCAGATGACACCACTCTGATGGCCGAAAGCGAGGAAGAGCTGAGGAGCCTTCTAATCAAGGTGAAAGAAGAAAGCGCAAAAGCCGGGTTGCAGCTAAACATCAAAAAAACCAAGATTATGGCAACAAGAATGATTGACAACTGGCAAATAGAGGGAGAAAAGTGGAGGCCGTGACAGACTTTGTATTTCTAGGTGCAAAGATTACTGCAGATGCAGACTGTGGCCAGGAAATCAGAAGACGCTTACTTCTTGGGAGGAGGGCAATGTCCAATCTCGATAAAATAGTAAAGAGTAGAGACATCAGACTGGCAACAAAGATCCGCCTTGTCAAAGCCATGGTATTCCCTGTAGTAACCTACGGATGTGAGAGCTGGACCTTAGGGAAGGCTGAGCGAAGGAAGATCGATGCTTTTGAGCTGTGGTGTTGGAGGAAAGTGCTGAGAGTGCCTTGGACTGCAAGAAGATCCAACCAGTCCATCCTCCAGGAAATAAAGCCCGACTGCTCACTGGAGGGAAAGATACTAGAGACAAAGTTGAAGTACTTTGGCCACATCATGAGGAGACAGGAAAACCTAGAGAAGACAATTATGCTGGGGAAAGTGGAAGGCAAAAGGAAGAGGGGCCGACCAAGGGCAAGATGGATGGATGGCATCCTTGAAGTGACTGGACTGACCTTGAAGGAGCTGGGGGTGGTAACGGCCGACAGGGAGCTCTGGCGTGGACTGGTCCATGAGGTCACGAAGAGTCGGAGACGACTGAACGAATGAACAACAACAACAACCAGGTGACAGTCACATTGAGGAAAAACAACAGGAAAAACCCAGCCATTATCAAGACCTCAAAATTGAATTGCAAAGGCTCTGGCATAAACCAGTTCAGGTGGTCCCAGTGGTAATCAGCAAACTCGGTGCCATGCCAAAAGATCTCAGCCGGCATTTGGAAACAATAAACATTGACAAAATCACGATCTGTCAACTGCAAAAGGCCACCTTGCTTGGATCTGCATGCATTATTCAAAAATACATCACACAGTCCTAGACGCTTGGGAAGGGTTCGACTTGTGATTTTGTGATATGAAATCCAGCATATAGATCTCCTTTGCTGTGACATACTGTGTTTTTGTGTCAGTAAAATAATAATATTGTTATTTTTTCCTTGCCTCCTCTTGTGAGTGACTCCCTTGGCCAGGTATCCTCAGTTTGAGAATATCTGCCCAGGGCAAACAGATGTAAATTGTATGTTAAAGGGGAATAAAACATTTCAGATAATCTAAAAGGTCTACAAAGAACTTGTGGGTTTCTAGGATTTACAGAATATAATTGCAGTTGAGTCGATACAGGAAAAAAATTGTAGATAGATGGAAAACTTGCGAGCCTCCAGATGTTGTTGCACTACAACTCCTTGCATAACTGATGGTGAGAAACCATGCAGTGGTGCAGGCTAGGAACATTTGGATGGATGGTATCTCTATAGTGACTGGCTTGACTCTGAAGGAGATGGAGGTGGTGACAGCCAACAGGTAGCTCTGGCGTGGGATGGTCCATAAGGTCACAAAGAGTCAGAAGCAACTGAATGAATAAACAACAACCACAGTTTAAAAGTGTCTATCAGTCTTCATTATGGTCCAGCTCTCATATCCATAGGTATGGACAGGGAATAAACGAATAAACAACAAAAGAAGGGACCTATGTTCACAGCCCACAGTCAAAGGCCCCTTCCACAGAGCTGTATAAAATCTACATTGAACTGGATTATATGGCAGTGTGGACTCAGATAATCCAGTTCAAAGCAAATATTGTGGGGTATCTGCCTTGATATTCTGAGTTATATGGTTGTGTGGAAGGGCTCAAGGAACTTCAATGTTTACTGCTATCTTTTAGCTTGTGTGTATATATGTGTGAGAGCCAGAAAGAAACAGAGAAAGTCACAGATATGATAAAATCTGGATTTATCTTGTTTTCTATAGGAATCTCAGTAGCACAGGGGTTTAACCCAAGCACCTGGATAAAATACAAGTAATTATCTGTTATTTGTATTTGACATGTTTTAAATTTACTATGTTTTTTAAACAAATGCCTAGTGCAAAAGACCTTGCAGAACTAGAACTCCCAGGATTCTATTGCACTGAGCCATGGCAATGAAAGTGGGACCAAAATGCATTTAAGTCTACAGCATTGACGCATCTGATGACTCTGGGTTTGAATAGGCACTCAGCTATGGAAACTCACTGAAGAACTTTAGGTGAGTCACACTCTCTCAGCCTCAGAAAACCCCATGATAAACCTATGCCTGGTCCCTTTAACACTGCCATAAAATCCAGATTATCAAATCAGATAACCCAAATTATCTGTCTTGAACTGGATTATGTGAGTTTACACTGCCATAAAATCCAGATTATCAAATCAGATAATACAAGTAATTTGTCTTGAACAGATTATATGAATCTACACTGCCATAAATCCAGATTATCATATCAAATAATCCAAATTATCTGCCTTGAACTGGATTATATTAGTCTACATTGCAATATAATCCAGATTATCAAATCAGATAATCCAGATTATCAAAGCAGATAATCCAGATTATCAAAGCAAATAACCCAGATTATCTGCCTTGAACTGGATTATATTAGTCTACACTGCCATAAAATCCAGTTTATCAAATCAGATAATCCAGATTATCAAAGCAGATAACCCAGATTATCAAACAGACAATTCAGATTATCTGTCTTGAACTGGATTATATTAGTTTACATTGCCAGAAAATCCAGATTATCAAATGATATAATCCAGTTTATCTGCCTTGAACTGGATTATATTAGTCTACACTGCCATATAATCCAGATTATCAAATCAGATAATCCATATTATCTGCCTTGAACTGGATTATATTAATCTACACTGCCATAAAATCCAGATTATCTGCCTTGAACTGGATTATATTAGTCTACACAGCCATATAATCCAGATTATATGCCTTGAACTGGATTATATTAGTCTATACTGTCATATAATCCAAAATATCTGTCTTGCACTGGATTATATTAGTCTACACTGCCATATAACCTAGATTATCTGCTCTGAACTGGATTATATTAGTCTACACGGCCATATAATCAAGATTATATGCCTTGAACTGGATTATATTCGTCTATACTGTCATATAATCCAAAATATCTGTCTTGCACTGGATTATATTAGTCTACACTGCCATATAATCCAGATTATATATGGATTTCATATGGTAGTGTAGATGGGGCCATATAGGGTGCATCTACTCCCTATGATTTGGGGTTGCCATAAATCAGAAACGATTTGAAGGTGCACCGCAACCAAGATCTCTATGCCATTGATTGTGTGCAGCACTTTGATACAGTTCCACTTTCACATCAGACTTATTTACTTCGTATGCAATTGTCGTGTGGTTTTAATATCATTTAGAAACTCTTCTTACAAGCCTTTCTTTAACAGAAATGCAAGTGCCAAGGGGAAAATAACCCACTCAGGATCCAAGGCAATCCACTGGAAAGAGAAGAACCAAGCAAGGGGAGAAGAGGACCTACCCTGGAGATGAGCAAGGGCTGGTTGAAGTCGATGCCTCCGGTCAGCCTGAAGCCCCAAGGGGCAGGTCCGGGCAGGACCACGTTTTGGGGCATTTTCCCCGCAGTTTGGAGCCTTTCCCTCTCTCTTTCTTAAAGCAGCGAAGGGAGCCGGGCTCCAGTGGGCTTCTCCCCAAAGCCGAGCTCCGATCCAGCCACGACCCTTCCCTCCCTCCCACTCTCGGCTTCACCTTTTTTATCTCCTCTCCTGGGTGACGTCACTCACTTGACCACTCACTCACTCCCGGGGGGCGGGGCCAAAGGAGCACCAAGTTTGGGCAACTCACACCCGTCACTCTGTGCCAAGTCCCTGGAGTCTCCCCAGCCTCCCTTCCATGGGGATCGGGTTACAGGCGCTCTTAAAGCGACCTAGGTCCTTTCCTAGGGTGGTGGGGTGGTGTGCCTTTCAAGTCTGTCCAACGGTTTTCTTGGCAAGCTTGGTAGAGAAAGGGCTTGTCCTGCCCTCCCTCTGAGGCTGAGAGAGTGTGACTTTCCCTAAGCTCACCCAATAGGTTTCCTAGCCAAGTGTGGTGTTGAACTAGAGAACATTGAGGGCTCTCTCTATACTATTTAATTCTATTTTGTTTGTATTTTGTAAGTTTTTCAATCACATAGTGTTATGTGCCACATTGGGTCTCAGACTAGATCTACACTATCCCATGAACTGATCCAGGATTATCTGCTTTGAACTGGGTTATATGAATCTCCACTGCATATCATCCAGTTCAAAGCAGATAATCAGGATTTTATATGGCAGTATAGAAGGGGGTTCACTTCCTTAAGCCCCTTCCACACAGCTATATAAAATCCACATTGAACTGGATTATATGCCAGTGTGGACTCAAATAATTCAGTTCAAAGCAGATATTGAGGATTATATGCCTTGATATTCTGAATTATATGGCTGTATGGAAGAGCCCTTAGATCAGCGTTTCTCAACCTTCATAATGGCGCAGCCCCTTAATATAGTTCCTCATGTTGTGGTGACCCCCAACTGTTATGAATCGTAATGTAAATATCTAATATGTAGGATGTATTTTCATTCACTGGATCAAATTTGGCACAAATTTGGCACCATATGCCCAAATTTGAATACTGGTGGGGTTGGGGGGGGGGGATTGATTTTGTCATTTGGGGGTTGTAGTTGCTAGGATTTATAGTTCACCTCCAATCAAAGAGCATTCTGAACTCCACCAATGATGGAATTGAACCAAACTTGGCACACAGAACTCCCATGACCAACAGAAATTACTAGAGGGGTTCAGTGGGCACTGACCTTAAGTTTGGGAGTTATAKTTCATCTACATCCAGAGAGTACTGTGGATTCAGACAATGACTGATCTAGACCAAACTTAGCATGAATGCGCAATATGCCCAAATGTGAACACTTGTGAAGTTTGGGTAAAATAGACCTTGACATTTAGGAGTTGTAGTTGCTGGGATTTATAGTTCACCTCCAATCAAAGAGCATTCTGAACTCCAGCGATGGAATTGGACCCAACTTGGCACACAGGACCCCCATGACCAACATAAAACACTGTTTGCTACTGGTCTTTGGTGACCCCTCTGGCACCCCCTTGCGACCCCCCTAGGCGTCCCGACCCCCAGGTTGAGAAACACTGCCTTAGTTTAAACCAGGGCATAAAGAATGATGATGATGGTGGTGATAATAACACTATGGCCCCTTCCAAACAGCTGAATAAAATCCACATATCTATTTTGAACTGGAATATATTGCAGTGTGGACTCAGATAAGTCAGTTCAAAGCAGATGTTGTGAGCTATTCTGCCTTAATGTTATGGGTTATAGGGCTCTGTGGAAGGGCCCTAAGTCATACTTTTAATGTAAGCCACTTTGAGTCTCTTTCGGGACAGATAAAGTGGGGTATAAACATAATAATGATTTTTTATTATTATTATTATTATTATTATTATTATTATTATTATTATTATTATAATAACAACAACAGAGTTTATGGTATGGTATAGTATGGGGTATAGTATTCATTAGGCATATTTTAATAGTAATTCTTTTACAACCAAAAACAATATTTATCTAACATCTACTAGTCCATCTGGTCCGGAAGCTTTATCTAGTCCAATGAACAGCCGCCAGGTTGCTAACAGACAGGGGCGGCTCAACCCATTATGCAAAGTAGGTATTTGCAGTATAGTTGATTTTGCCCAGGGGTGCTCTTGAGGATGTATAGTTCACCTACAATCAAAGAGCATTCTGAACTCCACCAAGGATGGAATTGAACCAAATATGGCACACAGAACCCCCATGACGAACAGAAAATATATATCAGTGATTGGTTGGTTGGGGGGCACCAAAATACTGTTTGCTTACAGTTGAAAATTACCTAGGGCCGCCTCTGCTAACAGGAGCAGCACTCAGGGAGCATACAACCCCCTTGTTGCGCCAGCTCCACTGGCTGCCAGTTTGCTACTGGGCCCAATTCAAAGTGCTGGCTTTGGCCTATAAAGCCCTAAACGGTTTTGGCCAACTTATCTGTCCGAATGTATCTCCCCTTGTGAACTTTAAGATTGTCTGGGGAGGCCCTGCTCTCGGTCCCGCCTTCGTCACAAGCACGTTTGGCGGGGATGAGAGACAGGGCCTTCTCAGTGGTGGCCCCTCAGCTATGGAACACCCTCCTTAAGGAGATTAGATCGGCTTCTTCGCTCTTAACATTTTGGAGGCAAGTTAAAACATGGCTGTTCGAGCAAGCGTTTACAAATGCAGAGTAGCTAATATAGGAAATCGAACGATTTGACAGTGGAACTGGACAATGCTTGATAATAAGGAGATGCTAATGATGTTGTTTTTATTGCTTTTGTGGTGTTTGATACTGTTTAATGTTTTGATTTATATTATGTTTTTATGTGTACTGTTTTTTTGGAAACCGCCTTGAGTCACCGATTGGCTGAGAAAGGCGGTATACAAATACAGCAAATAAATAAATAAATAATGTTGATATTTAATGTAGGATGTGAAAATGTTTTGCCCTTCAAAGATTGAGAACAGCTGTCACAATGGGCACAACTAGTGTGACCCTTAACAGTCTGTTTTTGGAATGTGGTGGGAAAGTGGTACACGGAATGAATCATAAAGTTTCTTAAGTTTTTGGATCTTTTGTGGGCAATTATAGGTGTGCTTTGGCATCCAGGGACGTCTTGTACTAGATGCCAGTGTTCAAAGAGGATCTTTTTAATTCCAGATGAGTATTGTGTTAGAGTTAGAGGCCAGATCAAGCAGTTGCTTTGCTTCCTAGGGTGTTCCTACAGTAGCTCATTCCTTTTAATGGAATTAGCTTTGCTGATGGTTGTGTTAAGTATCCTATTGCGGTATCCTCTCTCTCGGAGTTGTTTTTTCAGAATACCTGCCAAAGAGTCAAAATCCTTTTGAGTGCTACAATTGCACTTTAATCTTAAAAGCTGAGAGTATGGTAAATTGGATTTCAGAGAATGATGGTGAAAAGTAGAAAAATGAAGGAATGATTTTTTAATCTGTCGGCTTGCTATAATTTTTCACTAATAGTTTTTGTCCATTCTTGATTACCATGATGTCCAGAAAGTTAATATTTGTATGACTACAATGGCTAGTGAATTTTATGTGTTTGTGAAAGTGTGTTGATCCAGGTGTAGAACTAATCGGCTACAGACTGAGAACTCAGGTCTCAGCGGTGGCTGGGAGAGCTTTTGCACAATTAAAACTTGTGCGCCAACTGCGCCCGTACTTTGGGAAGTCTGATCTGGCCACGGTGGTCCATGCTCGTGTTACATCCCAAATAGATTACTGCAACGCGCTCTACGTGGGGTTGCCTTTGAAGACTGTTCGGAAACTTCAACCTGTCCAGCGGGTGGCAGCTAGACTTCTCACTGGAGCATCATACAGAGAGCATACCACCCCTCTGTTATGTCAGCTCCACTGGCTGCCGATTCAGTTCYGAGCACAATTCAAAGTGCTGGTTTTGACCTATAAAACCYTATAYGGCTCTGGCCCAGCRTRCCTGTCYGAACRTATCTCCTTCTAYGTCCCRCCTAGGAATTTAAGATCTTCTGGAGGGGCCCTGCTCTCAGCCCYGYCCTTGTCACAAAYGRGRTTGGCRGGGACGAGGGAYAGGRCCTTCTCGGTGGTGGCCCCCYRCCTGYGGAATTCACTCCCYGGGGAAATTAGATYATYGTCATCCCTCCTCTCTTTCAGAAGGAAATTAAAAACATGGATATGGGATCAGGCCTTTGGATAATCTGGCAGACTGACAATGGACAATGACGACTAAAGCTTTGGAAACAGACTATGATAAGCAGAATGAATTTATTAATTATGGACTTGGCAAAACGATGGCCACCAGGCTGGCATTTTATTGTATTTTTATTGTATTAATGTAATGTTTTAAGTGTTATAATTTACTGTTACTATGTATTTTACTGTGTGAGTTGTAGGCATCAAYGTATGCCAGTTGGAAGCTGCCTTGAGTCCCCCTTCGGGGGTTGAGAAGGGCGGGGTAGAAATACCYGAAATAAATAAATAAACTAACTACTGTAAAKATGCCATCAATATACCTTCCCTAATATAAAATATCTGGCAAGAATTGATTGGTAATTGTATTTAGAATGTATCTAGTTTTTAAATGAGAAACAAATAGATTGGCTATTCAAACCACTGATCTTCAGGTCAGCAGTTCAGCTGGCACAAGGCTTTAACCCATTGTGCCACTGCGGCTCCAGTGAATTGGTTGATAGCTCATGAGGCCATTCATGGTTTTGCTTTGTTCACTGTGTAGCAATGATATAGGATCAGTTTCCTTAAAGCAGTGGTTCCCAATCTTTTTTTACTAGGGATCACTTGATCAAGAACCTCTTGAATAGAGACCACTTGAACAGGGATCATTCTCCAACATTAGTACCAAAAGGGTTACAAATCAGTATTTGGTCAACTTTAGATTTGGTTTGGTTATTTGAGGTGGTGATTCAGAAAACTGCATTGGATAGACCACATCAACTCTAGTTTCTGATACAGAACATATGTCATGCATTAGTCACCATCTGATCACCCATGGAAAAGCATATTTAATAAGCCCTGGCACTTTAAGAGGGTTTTGTTGCAATTGTTGCAATGTTGTAGTAAAGGTAAGGCTGTGAACCATATTTTAATTCTTGCAGACCACTGGTTG